TTTTGGATGCGATTAATCGTTTAACAGCACTAATATATATGTGTGTGTGTATATATATATATATTAGTTTTTAAATTGTTGTTAAAATATATAATTAATCAATATGGTAATATGATTTTATTTATTATGTAGTTAATATGGAATTTTGTATTTAAGTTTGTTTTCGTTATATTGGATAAGTTTTACTTTTCAATTTGATGTTCTGTTTATTATTACTATTATTATTATATTATATTACTATAAAATTTTTATAATTATTTACATTACAGAAATGTACATTGTTTTTCTCTAGTTATATCAAAATGTTTTTAAAAATCCTTATCCAGGGGAAAATGGTCAAACAGTTCTGGCTGTTTCTGGTGCTACAAACATACTTAGATTTCAGAAAACTCAAAGTGAATCTGGCCGTTAAATGCGTGTTTTCTGTTGTAGATGTTGAAGAAGATGGAGCAGGCCAAGAAGAAGGCCGAAGCTGTGGTGGACACGGTGGATATTTCAGAGCGAGAGAAGATGGCTCAGCTCAAGAGGTCGGCCTCGACATCCACACGTCCGCTTCGTTTCATTCCCAACGCACTGAAGCCTAATCATTTTCTCTTTCCTTCGCTCACAGCATCTACAAGAAGGCCGGCGTGGGGAAGGAGAAGCGAGACATCACGTACATCGTGGCTAAGAAGGGCGTGGGACGCAGGGTGCACCGTCCCGCCGGAGTCAAGGGCACTTTCCGCGTGGTGGACGGGCGGTTGAAGAAAGACACGAGAGCCGCGCAGAGGAAGGAGCAGAGGGGGCGGGGCAAAGGAGGGCGTGGCCACAAAGGAGGGCGTGATCATAAAGGAGGGCGGGGCATGAAGGCCGGAAAAGGCCATGCAAATAAGAAGTGATGGACGCCCGTCTCGTCCTCATTCAGACCGATTAATTGAGCTGCTCGTGTCATTTACGAGTCTATAGCGCTATACGCTAATCTCCTCGTCCAGCCCTTTCGTTACCGACGACATGCTGTTTTGCTTGGACTTTGACTCATGTGATTATAAATAAGGGTTTAAACCCTTCCAGCAGTCAGACGCAGTTCAGACTGATGATGTTTTTCAGCATTTTTATAATGCTGCGTGTTTTCATGTCTAGCGTATACTTTGTAGTATATGAACGTCAGGTGTATACGTGAACTTCCTGATCTTTCTGAATTAATTATGCCAATTTATATGTGAAAAATCTGCTTGGATTGTTAGTTACATTTTAAATAAATGAAAACTGAATGACAAATTGATGTTTTAAATAATACAGATTATTTTTTTTTTCATTACTGTGATTTGGTGTAGTTTTCATATAGAATTTCAATATTAAAAAATGTGAACCATATAAACAGTACCGCCGCTCCAGATACGCAGAGTACGCAATTTGCGTAGGGCACCAACCCAGTTGCTCAAAAAAAAAAAAACTTTCGTTCTATTTTAATATTATCAAATACATATACGTAAATAAAAATGTAAACATGAACATATATACAGAATTATAAAAAAATGCGTTTTACGGTGAACGCAGTAGACAGGCGAAGCACACGTGACGCGTTCGCTCTCACCTCATGTTTGCGGCTGAATGCAAATGATCATAACTGATGGACAACTATGCCCGGGAACAGACATCAGTAGTCCGGCGCCAAGATAAGAAAAAGAAAAAAGCCCTAGAGGAAGCCCGTGCATCACTTTTATGTACGTTTATAATCCTGTGAACGTGTTTTAATGTCGCTAATAATATCACTGCCGCATCTGCCTTAATATTCTCTCAGAGTTTCCGTGTTCCCTTACGAAAATTAATGATAATTTTACTACGAATAAAAAAAAACAAAAAAAAAAACATGGTTCTTGTAGCAATGGTAACCACAAATTGACCATGGTTTTGATGCTTCAAATCGCTTCAAATAATAATTTACGAAGTATTCAGATATTTTTGTGGTATTAAAAACAGACCTAAGCGAACAACAACCTTAAAAATGCCATAAAATGCATTATATAATAACAATGAGGCAATAATGATTGGTTAATCATATGGTTTCATTGAATAACACTGTTAAAATACATAATGTAATGCAAAATAAACCATTTATGTACATTACATATTACAAATGCCTGCAAGAGCGCCAAAGGCCTGGTAATTGCTGTTGTAACACTTACAGGACGATCAAATCCTTGTTTAATATTGACCAAACATTTCATTCAAATATCCACTTAATCTTTCATTTTTGGCCACCTTTTTATGATGGAAATGTTAGCCTCTATAATTTCTTCAACAAATCAACGTGGACATCACAACCCTTACAAAAACTAATCCTTGGTTTTATCGAAGTAAAACTGCTTAATTTTCTTTTGTCGTTTCTGAATGCTTGAGACCATAAAGTCAATCAGACATCTGTATTAGTAAAATCATAGCCATAGGTGACTGTCTAGCTACAATTGTAATTTGTAAATAATACAATTTAATTACAAGTTAGTTATTTACTTTTATATTTTATTAAAGTTCTATTTTGACCCCTATAGTAGGTGTTTTTTTTTTTTTACTTCCATAATATTTTGTGGAGGGGGCACAACAATACAATTCTGCTTTTTTACATAATGTATAAATACAAATATTTATATTATTTACATTTTTATGTTTTAAATAAATGCAAAATATAAAATAAAGAATATATATATATATATATAGTTTAAATTTGTTTAATTTTTTTAAAATGTACACAAAAAATGAAAACCTAAAAAATATTGTTTACAATTTAAATTTATTTAAAGTTCTAGAATTTGTTATTTTAAATTTATATTTATTTAAAAAATATCTAAACATGTATTTGTAATTGTCAAATATAATTGTTAATTATAATTGTAAAAACTTATTTTTTATTTTTTTTGCTGGAATGTGTTCTTGCCATGCCCCAAGGTCGAGATACAACTATTTGAAAATCTGGAATCTGAGGGTGCAAAAAAATCTAAATATTGAGAAAATCGCCTTTAAAGTTGTCCAAATGAAGTTCTTAACAATGCATATCACTAATCAAAAATTAAGTTTCGGATAGGAAATTTACAAAATATCTTCATGGAACATGATCTTTACTTAATATCCTAATGATTTTTGGCATAAAAGAAAAATCAATAATTTTGACACATACAATGTATTGTTGGCTATTGCTACAAATATACCCCAGCGACTTAAGACTGCTTTTGTGCTCCAGAGTCACATATAATTTTTATGAATTTTGAAGCCTAAATAAAAGCGCCAGAACTTAAAAGCTAAACTTTCCATCCGAAGACTTGTTGCATTTCGGGGCAAAAAAAAACACATTGTCGAACAACAATACAAAATGTGGGAAACTGTTAATTGGTTATTCTACAATTAATTGTACTATAAATTATACTACAATTGGAAAATACTGTAAATTGATAAACTGTTCAGCGTGATGACGTTTAATGTCTCCGACAGCGTCTGTAGTCCCATTTAGCAACTTGTTAGCAACCGTCTTTTTAAAGAACGTTTAAAAAGTTAAAAAAAATCACGAGTGGGGTGTAACTGGTGTGTTTTATGTCGTAGAATAAAACGTGAAAGTATCTTGAGCCTGTGTGAACCACGGACCTTATTTTAGGGGATTTAGCCAAACTCCCATTCAAAAAACCCATTCAGAGTCAAAAAACCCATTGACTCTGGGACGATGGAACCGGAAGTGCTAAAATGCAAACTCGACTCCGGGTTTTTGCCTACAAAGTGACTTCATAGTTCCACCACTCTAAACTGCAGCGAGACAAGGCAGCAGAAATTTTACAAATATGGCATGTTTTTAATTATAGAAAAACTTAAATTATTTTTATTCATCTTTATCCATGTGGGTAGGTCAAAATTTCAAGAATGTACCAATTATTACATTTTTTTTTTAAACATTTTATTTCATGTTCTATGACAATGTAATTTATTATTTTAGATTTTTTAATAAACATTTTTGTGTGTGTGTATATATATATATGTATATTTATATATAAAAGAAAAAAAAAACAGAATTTTATAGTATGTGTACAGTGCAACAGCAAAGAGCTTTTTTTAAATTTTAGAGAAGTTAAGTTGCGATACCGAACTGGAACACATGGAGATGACAAAAAAAACCCCTAAACCAACCGCCTGCCTACTGCATATATCTACTACAGTTCACAGATCCATTCAGTATAACTAAACACAGCAACATAAACATGACAAATCAAAACATTATCGTGAATGCGTGTGGAAACAGCGTGAATGTATGGAAATGTCTGTGCCTGTGCATAAATGCAATGTGCGATCAGTGCGTCGAGCACTCATACACGCATTATTATAACGGCTTAAAATGATCTGATCGCAAGCAGAGAAGCAAAATTGGGTTAAAGGGTTAGAATAGAAATTGTGCTGCAGCAATTTTGCGTTAAAAAATTATTTTAACGCGTTAAGGATTGTAAAATTAATCGCATGCATTAACGCGTTAACGATGACAGCCCTAATATATATATATATATATATATATATATATATATTTATGTGTGTGTGTGTTTTATACGTTTTATTTCATTTCACGCTTTATGAATATACAAAATGTAATGATCTCTATCGAACGTTATAATTACTTTAATATTTTGTTAAATATTTGTAATATTTTTTAATTATTCAAAATATAAAATCTAATTTCAAGTTCTACCTCTGGTAAGAGTAATATTTGAAGAGTGTTATATTTTTAATTATTCATTTTTTGTTTTGTTTTTGGTCATCGGTATTGGAAGACTATCTTATTTATCAATATTTTATATATATTTATACATTAATATATTTACTTATTTTTAATCGTACAATTTCACTTCATGTTCTTTCACAGTACAAAAATATATATTTTTTTTAATTTCTATGCATCTGTGTAGGTCAATATTGGGAAGAAATGATATTTATTATTAAATTTGTATTCTATTTTTTTTTCAAATCCCTATTATTTTTCCAAATCTCATTTGCGTTTCTATGGTAGAATGTTCATGGCTCCTCGAGGAAGCCCATACTTAGAGCAAACAGGAAGTGCATTAATTGTTTGTCCCGCAGCATTCCGGGACGCCACGCGGGCCTTCATGCTGCTGTCGGTGCTGGGCTGTTTCGCTGGAGTGCTTTTGGGCATCACTGCGTCCAAACGGCCCCGGAGCCGACGGGTGCGGACCGGAGGAATCGCCCTGCTGCTGTCCGGTCAGAAACACACACACAAAATACACCTCACACACTTCAGCTTCTGGGAAAATATGAAAAACAAAAAAACATGTAGTGATCTTTAAAAATGTTTTTATTTTATTTGTATTATTTATTTTCGTATTTGTATTTTTTGTGTATTTTATTTTTATTTTTGGTTATATAAATGTAGTAATCTCTGTCCATCTGAGTAGGACAGTTTTGTTTTATTTGTATTATTTTTTTATATTTGCAATAGAAAATTCAAGGCATTAATGTTTGCCTACAAAACCACCACTGGCTCTGCACCCCTTTACCTAAATTCATTACTTCAGACTTATGTGCCTCTAGAAGCTTGCGTTCTGCAAGTGAACGGCGTATTATTGTTCATCCCAAAGAGGCACAAAATCACTTTCACAGACTTTTACATTAACTGTTCCCTCCTGGTGGAATGACCTGCCCAACTCAATTTGAGCAGCTGAGTCCTTAACCATCTTCAAGAATCAGCTAAAAACACATCTGTTCCACCTTTATTTGACCCTCTAACTCTAGCACTCTCTATTCTAATTCTATTCTTTAAAAAAAAACGTGCCCCTTTTAGACTTGCACTCTATTCGTTTACAAACTGCTTGTTTTCTCTAATCTTTTTGCATTCTATTTGTTTTATTGTTATTTATTATACAGTTAACAAAAGCAACAATACCTCTAACACTGGCTTGCTCTATTCTTTTTCTATTCTATCTGTTTTCATTTTATTTATTATATTATTTAAAAAAAACCTTGCTACGTGTACTGCGTTAAGCTGACTGAGACTTGTTATAGCACTTGCATATCATTGCTCTTTTGTTGGTTTTGATTGCTTCTATTGTCCTCATTTGTAAGTCGCCTTGGATAAAAGCATCTGCTAAATTACTAAATGTAAATGCAAATGCAATATTCCTAATTATTAAAAACATAAAACTTAATTTCATGTTCAAGGAAAATATGACAAATAATGTTTTTTTATACTCTGTATATATTAATATTAATATTAACTCATTTTATTTTATTTTTGCTTTTTCATTGTGAAAGACTTAGAAATAGTTTTCAGCTTTTTTCACATTTTTTTTTTTTTTGCTTTTCCATTTAAAAATCTATGTATAGTTGGTGTATCCATCATAATGAAGGCTCTACATTATTTGACATTTGAGAGCTAATAATAATTAAATGTAATTATTATATTGTTAAAACATTTGACATTTTTAGACTTTATAGACTTAAATTTTAAGTATTTAAAATAAGTAAAAAATTACATTTTTAGTTATTAAAAATGTAATTATTTAAAATGATTTTAAATTCTGACATTTTTAGTTATAAAAAAATTAATTTAAATGTTTAAATAAAAAACGTTTGACATTTAAGTTATTAAAATGTAAATGAAGTTAAAAACATCTGACGTACAGTTATCATAAATTACATTCTTTCAGTTGTTAAAGACATTTACTACATTTTGAGCAGATTTCTGCTTCATAAACACTGATGTCTGTGCAGTGATGATCAGCTCAGCAGCGCGAGGTTCAGTGTGTGTTGCAGTGGTTTTTATGCTCTGGTTTGCGGTGGTTTCTGCTCTGAAGCGGTCTGTGTTTCTGCAGGATTTCTTGCGCTCTTGGCTTTGGCGATCTACACCGGCATGACCGTCAACTTCTTTGGCAAACGCTACATCGACTGGAGATTCTCATGGTTGTATATCTTGGCTTGGATCGGCATCATATTGGCTTTTGGAGCAGGTACATTTCATTTTATAGCATGCTTTACAAAATATGCAGAAAAAAAATTCTATGTGTATATATATATATATATATATTTTTTTTTTTTTTTTTTTCTTTCTGAAAAAAAAAATAGGTTGTGAAAATCTCTTTTAAAGTTTTTTTCCATTCGTTTGTTTTTTGCACAACTTGCAAAACATTTAATAAATATGCATAATACAAAAACAAAGGTCTAAGTAAAACTTGCTTGTTTTTTGCATTCATCATAGTTACATAGTAATATTAAAAAAAGTTGATTCCTGCTTTTTTCTTTATACAATAAATAAATACATAAATAAATAAATATGCATAATATAAAACAAATAACAGTTTTTTTTTCTATAAAACTCAATGAAAACAAGAAAGTGCCATTTTGAAGATCTTCTAATCTTATTTAAAGAATTTTTAAATTTTTCCTAAAAAAAATTTTTCCCCAAAGAAAACTATAAAAAATAAAACTGTAAAAAATTATTAAAGAATTTTATTAAAGACAATTTTTGTTCACAAAAACAAAAGTTTTGAACATTTTATTTAAAGGCTTTTTTAATGTTCAAAGAAAATAAATAATTGAATTAATTCAAAAATAAATAACTATTCATAATACAAAGTATTATTTTGAACAAAGGGGGATTTTTTGTAAAAAAATAAATAAATAATCTAAAATTCTAAAATTTTGTGCAAAAATAAATCTATTTTTTTTAATAATATTTTTCTTTCTTTTTTCAAAAAATGTAATAAAAAAATCATAATAGTTCATAATTGTACAAAAAAAATCATAAATAACAGTTCCTTGCTTAGTTTTTTTTCTTCATGCATCATAGTAAATGTCTGTGTTTGTGAATGGTGTGTTTCAGGCGTCCTGCAGCTCTGTGCGTATCAGAGGAGCGTCTCTGAAGCAGCACCTGCGAGCGTCTCAAACATCTCAACATGAAATAAATGGCTTTCGGACTCTTTCTTTGGCAGATGATTTATTTCTCACACAGAATTATTGGTGCAGCATGATTTAATACTGGCATTACTGGTTAGGAGTTATGATTCTGTCTGTCCAATAGATGGCGTTCAGATGCAAAACACCCTCAGATGAGGAATGATATATTCAGCACAGACACTGATCAGTTCATTTCTCTGCATCGCCAACTCAACATGAAATACATACAGAAACACAGACAGCAGTAAAGCTTTTAAAATATTAATGTACACAAAAGACCCTGAATTACAGTTTGCCTTTTTCAAGCAGTAAAGCTTTTAAAATATTAATGCAAAAAAAGAGCACACAAATAAAACTTTTGGCAGTAAGTTTTAGCAATCAATTTGTCTAGATTTACATTAAAAAAATTCTTGGTTTTCATTTGTTACGTATGTTTGTCATAAACATTTAAAAAGTAAACAGCATATGTATTTGAAATGACACAATTATGGGGTTAATAATTTATGTTCATAAAAATATCTATATATATATTGAATACCAGTGTCAAATGTTACACTAATGCTTAACACAATATATGTTGACATTTTATATCTATATTATTATTTTTATATTTAAAGAGGTCATATGATGAAAGGAAAAATTGAAATCGCATCATATGACCCCTTTAATGTATATAAACAACTGAAACAATTATTTACTTAATGTTTAATTTTTTTTTTATAAAACTCATTAACATTTTTTTAATTAACAAAC